TCTCCCGATACACCTGAAATATGGAAAATTGTCACAAATAATGGTAAATATATATTTATGGAAGATCCTAATATAAAATTATAATTTTTTTTTTTTTTTTTTTTTATAGCTTTAGAACAAGATCCAAAAAATCGTCCGGCGATATCAGAAATTTTCAATACGCTTCACAAAGACCACGAAAGAACACAGCTACAACAAAGTGGTTCGCAATCATCACCGATTGAAATTTTATCTGACAATGATGAACTAGATATTACTGAGACTAATCCTCAATATATTATGAGTGTTCAAGATGCAATTATTGAACATAAAAGAGGAAATAAGAAGGAAGCTTGGAAATGTTTTTCCTATCACGCAGAAAACGGAGATATGCACGCAAAGTTTTGGGTCGGCTATTATCTTTATCATTCCGAAATTGATGAACTCAAATATAACATGGAAGATAATCTTATAAAGGCAGCTCAACTATTTAAGGAAGCCGCAGATGATGGAAAGGCAGAAGCCCAGCTTAGATATGGGACTTGTCTTTGGCTAGGAAAGGGCGTAAAAATTAACTACAATGAGGCAATTAAATATCTAACATTAGCAGCAGATAATGGAAATGTAAATGCCATGTATAATGTTGGGAGTGCTTATTATAGTGGCAAAGGGGTCGAGAAAAATATAGAAAAAGGAACTCGCTATCTGAAACAGGCAGCTAAAAAAAAAAATACAAAAGCAATTGAGATGTGTAGAAACAACGAAATTACTTACTTTTAGGACATTAATAGATAGCTAATTTTAACTTTTTTGGCACGGCGACATGAGATAGATGTAAAAATATAAAAATTAAAAGTAAAAATTTTTTGGAATAAGTTTATAATTTTATTGGCAAACTGTAGTCGCGAAGTAAAACGGCGAATTTGTCACGTGTAATTACATGCGTACTATCAATCTTTTATAATTTTAAAATTTTTTACTTTGATAATTAATAATTCTCATCTTTTATCATATAAATACTTTTTAAATATTTTTTGAAGTAAATTAAAAGCAAAAAAAACTTTTTATATGGATTTTTTTAATTATTTTTCTAAAGCTATAAAGTTACAAAAGTATTCTTAATACATTTTATAAATATAGTACATTTTTTACTTAGATTTATTATTTTTCAATAAGAATAATTAAGGCTTTTATTAATAGAAATTGATTCAATGTCACAAATAATAATAAAGAAAGTAATATATTTCTTTTGCCATCTAAGCAAATAATGTTCGAGAATATTGAATGATATATAATTTTTATCAGATATAATTTAAATAGATTTAGATTAATAAATCATTTAAAAATTTTGTAAATTATAATTTAACTAATTTAATCTTGTTATTTATAATTATATATTAATTATTCAATTTTTAATTAGATTTATCTGCTTATAAAGTATAATAAATTTAGTTAAAATAAAACTATAATAGATTATTATTAATTTATATAAATATAAAAATATATAGTATATCAATAAAAAAAAACTTATCAATTCTTTTCACTGATTCACTGATCAACAAAAAAGATGTTCGCAAGAAGTTTTTATACTTCTAAGTTAATAAAGTTTTATCACTTTCCTTAAATCAACTTGAAGAAGCTTTAAGAGTTATCAATTATTTTCCATTCTCTTACTTAATATTCTCTTAAAACAAAAACTTGATCTCTAGTGATCACAAAGATTGAAAAACATCTTTTCTACTAATGATAAGAAAGTTTTAAAAAGAAGAAGAAATAATATACTATTATTTTACACTATAGAGCAACACTACAGAAGTATATATTATTATAAGAGACAACTTTTTCACTCTCTTGTAATCTGTAATATTCTCATAGTACTTGTTTTTAATTTTTTTTGAAAAATTTTGCCTAGTTTAGTTTGATCCTGGATTTTGAATAGCACAAAATTTCTCACACTATAATTGGACAGATAGAGTTCACATTAGTAAAAAAATATAAACAAGCTCCTATTGGTTACTTCATGTGTTTGAATTCATTTCTTCAGTTCTATTAGAACCTGAAATTCACTATAAG